TGCTGGAGGAGCAGGGGATCTTTGGCGGTAGGCATCTTTCTCTTTTTGCAGGAATGACGAGTGTGAGTGAGGAGAAGTGTAAAAGCTGTTTTTGCCTTTCCTGTAGATGTGTCCATAGACGAGTGGCCTTTCTACCTGCTTCCTCTTGATGATGACATCATCAGTCTGGAGCTGCCAGAATTCTTTCAAGACAACTTCCTGGTTAGTAGAGGCCTTGCATTGATCATTTGATCACTGATCATTTAAATCCTTTTCTAGTCAGTGTTTTAGTCCTCATTTGTTAATGTGAAGAGGTTCTGCAGCAGTACACAGACTAATGAGTGAACACGAGCAGCTAATGAGCTAGCTGTTTCCCCTAAATGACGAAAAGCAAAGAAAAGAAAAGAAATATTGGCCTCACATGCTCTTGTTGGATGCATGCATGACTTGTTGCTCTTCATCAGTGTTTGATTCGGTTTTAGACTTTTGAATAAAACGTTATAGACTCAGTCTAAAATCTGAAGTTCGTTGTGTTTTTACTGTTCCACGTGGTTTACAGACACCTTGACATCCAAACATGTTTTTGTGAGAAACACAGAGCTGCTCGTACCGTTGTCCAGATGTGACTACATTCCATCACAGTTTTTGTCCTCGAGCTTTAGTTTTGAGTTTTCGTCGTTTCTTTCTTTAATTTCCTCATTTCTGAAGCCGACCGCACAAAGGAAGTCTGGGCGTTGTAGTGTTACTAATGTGTTAATAATCATAGTGAAACAAATCATCACATTTGAACTGTTCATTGCTTAATTTATAAGCCCGTAGTTGAATCAGAAGTGTATCTCTGATGCATCCTGTATTTTTCCAGGCTGGAGACCAGCGCTGGGTGAGGACCGCCGGCAGTGCTCTCCACCTCCTGTACTCCCTGTACGGCCCATTCTCAAAGGTCTACGGGATTGGGCGCTGCTCAAAGGTGCAGTAAGATTAGAGACCAGAAGCTAGTTTGATCAAACTAGTTTAACTTTTTCACGTCCAGTTTGTCCGTCACCTGCTTTGGTCTGTTGCTGATGGTAATTCTGTGTGATCCCAGATGGCGTACGAGTCGTGGAGGGAGCAGGTCGAAGAGGGAGAACAAAAAGCTCGTCAGGCTGAAATTGGGAATGTTTTCCTTATTGACAGAGGTGAGGAGGCGCAGTGATCTCAGAGGACGATGGGCCGTGCCGTTCCCGTTCTAATGTCGTTGTTATCATTGCAGATGTGGACTTTGTTACTCCTCTGTGCTCACAAGTTGTCTACGAAGGACTTGTTGATGACATCTTTAGAATCAAATGTGGTAGGTGTCAGTAAATCGAATCCCCCAGCGCCGGCTGGGGGACTTTTGAAAAATATCCATATGTTGTCTGATCATTCCAACTGTTGTGCAGGATGTGTGGAGTTTGGACCTGATGTTACCGCCTCTGACAAAAGTGTGAAAGTGATGCTGAACTCTCAGGATAAGGTAAGGCTCGTCTTAGTCTGCGGTCGGCTGCCCTTTGCTAACTGTCGTGATTCTAATAGAAAAGTGTGTCTAATGTTTCGTAGGTGTTCAGTGAAATCAGAAATGAGCATTTCTCCAACGTCTTTGGTTTTCTCAGTCAGAAAGCCAGGAATCTGCAGACTGCATATGACGTGAGTGAATGTTCATACTGCTTAGCAATCATTGCACCCGTGGCTTGATTTAGAGAGTCTTTGTACGGCACAACCTTGAAAAATGGCATTTATATTTGCATTGGTGCGTTACGTGTTTATTACCTCATGGTCGATTTTTTTTTGTGCGATGCCAGCCAATAGAAACTAATAAAATGCTCCTGCGTCTGCGCTCTCTGTTTAGGTCAGCAAACATTTTTGTCCCTCTAGTTTTTCCTCTTTCTCTGTACGTTCCAGTAGTTTCAGTGATCTCGCTCCAGGAATTTGCTGGAGTGACGTTTGTGAGTCTTTATCTTGACACTTTGATGCTATAATTGTTATTGTCTCAAAAACTACAACAAAAAAGTATCTGGAAATTGTCCAGATGATCTGACGGTGCTGAACCCCTCACAGTAGTGTTGGGCTGCGTTGATGCGACGTGTAGTTACATTTAGTTACATAGTTACATAGTGTCAGGTTACCCTGCAGTGTTTCAGAGGGGTAATTATGACGTAGCTGAAGCATTAGTGACCAGTAAGGATAACAGCTAACACCTTTTGTCTGGTTTTCTTTAATAACTCTACAGAAACGTCGGGGGATGGACATAAAGCAGATGAAGACGTTTGTGTCAGAGGAGCTGAAAGGGTTGAAGCAGGAACATCGACTGCTGACCCTGCGTGAGTGTTACAGTATCCTACCGCTGACTCCGAGCCATATCTGCACGGCTGCGTTGCTGAAGAGCATTTTCTCTTCCAGACATTGGTGCCAGCGAGTCGATAATGAAGAAGAAAACAAAGCAGGACTTTCAGGAGCTGCTGAAGACAGAACACTGTAAGAATCCTCCGCTCTGCTCTTTGTTCCAATCGCGTTTCATTTAACCTCCTAAGACCCGAACTCTTCCACAGCAGCATATTTAATTTCTCTTTGATATTTGGGCATATTGGGACCCGATGAATGTAAAAACAAAGAATTACCAGATATTTTCTTTACCTGATTTTTGTTT